CATCCATAACTGTAAGAAGTAAATTTCTTTTCTTTGTAAATTACCCATTTCAGGAGCTCTGTCATAAGTAAGAAAAAAGAGACTAACTTTGGAGCCAGGCTGAGGAGGGAATGATGGGGCCTTGGATACACTGGGGCCACTGTCTTTGTGAGGTGCTCCCTGGCCCTCACATACTCCCTTAGAGGCTACACACACTGTGTTCTAAGCCACTGTGTGTGTGATTGTTGCACACCCATTTCAATGACACATGCCTTTGTTCCCAGCTCACTCAGCTCCCACACAGCCCCCGATGGGACCTGTTTGCTGCAACTGACACCCATCTGGATGTGTCACTCTCAGGTGTCTCACAATTAGATGTGCCCTGCCTCCTGCTGTCATGCCCTCAGCACCTGGACATGCTGGCACTTGTCACACTCAGTCCCTTGTGCAGGAAGCTACTCCACTGCTTTCCCACTGATGTCCCCATGTGCGGATGCTGCAGGCACCCAATGTCATGCTCTCATGAGGGCACTGTGCCTACCACATGCAGCCCTGCACCCTCTTCTGTCTGCAGGGCCACAGCACAGGCCCTCGAAGACTGAGGGAGCTGGGGCAGCTCTGGAGGCTGCCCTTGGGGAACTCTACCTGCTCTGGCCTGCTGTGGCCTGATTTGTCTCTGGCTGGTGCCAGAATGTCTACGTCCTCATAGATCACAGGCTGACCACCCTGTGGGGTTCCAGCTGGATCACTGGAGGACCCAAGAAAGACAGGGTCATGTGGGCAGAGCTAGACAACACAAGGGGTGCCCAGGTGGCTCTCCATCCGGCACCTCCTTCAGGCAGGTGATTGTTAAAACCCTAGTCCGGTGCCCACAGGGGCTGATGGCACAAACCCAAGGTCATGTGGCATTTTAACTGCCTTGAAATTGTCTTTTACTTCCCAGGTATTCAGTCTCTTAAAGTTGGACAGTACTGGCGAGACCCTTCCCAGGATGGGGTGCTGTTGCTGGGTTGGGTTACAGACTTATTTAAAATAAGTATAAGGTTGTTTTGCTTTTTTCTGGCTCTCATTGTCAGGAAAATGTTAGCCAATTTTCTGCAGTTACAGGGTAGGGTTTTTTTTGTTGTTGTTGTTTTGTTTTATTCTGTGGCTTTGTCATCCAGGCAGCTTCCTGAGAGGCGTGTTTCCAATGTTTAAAATTTAAAATAAGGCCCCAGTTTCTTGCAGACAGTGAGATTTCATACATTATGGTTTTAGAAGCACAGCTGAATGCATCTGTGGGCTTCAGCAATGAGTGTGACAGCTGGGGGTGAAGTCAAGGCCCTGGCTGCTGCATGCAGTTCCAATTGTGTGTCACCAAAACACTCCAAGGGGTCAGCGGGCCCAGATCTCAGGATGCCACCTTTCCCCATCATATTGCGGCTCCTGCATGAGGATACAAGTGAGGCTGCCTGGGACAAAAACTCAATGACAGTAATTTAAGGTGTTTTCTGCTATCCAGAGGAAGGGGGCTCAGGCCTGTGGGACAGCCACTCCACTGGGCCACTCCGAGCTCTTTTGTTGCTCCCCCATCTCATGGCCCTTTTTCATGAGAGTGAACCATTTACTTTTCAGGTATCCGAATGTCAAAGGGAAAAGAAAGGGACCCAAGCTTGCTTTAAAGACCCAAACTGGATAGTCCATTCCATTCCCAGTGCAACGCCATTGGCCTGAACCTAGCCCACTGCCATTCCCAGTGGCAAGGGAGTCTGGGAACTGACAGCCAGTTTCAGGTGGGGTGCATCCATGGGCTCCCTGGCATCTGCAACCCTCCCACAGGCTCCCTCTGACCACCAGCCCTCTTGGCCTGAGCACAGGAAGGCTAGGTGTGCGTTAGTGCCCCTGGGAGCAGTCCTCACCCACATCTGATGAAAGTCGGGAGATAAATGCTCCAGCTTTTATCCCTGCATGAAGAATATCAAAGGACAATCTGCATGGTGCCCCCAGAGTTTCCCACACGGACTGGGCACCAAGTGCCCACAGTGGCTGCTGCGGACTGAATTATATTCTCCCCAGAGTCTTATGTGGAAGCCCTCACGGACAACGTGACGCTATTTGGAGACAGGGCCTTTGGGAGGTGACCAGGTTGAAAAGAGGTCATGAGGGTGGGGTCTGGTGGAATTAATGTCCTCATGAGAACAGCCACTGGAGAGTTCTCTCTCTCTCCCTCCCCGTTTCTCCCTCTCACACAGGGAAAAGGCAGCCCTCTACAAGCCCAGAAGAGAGCCCCCATCAGGGAACCAAGGTAGCCAGCACTTTAACCTTGGACGTCCAGCCTTCCTTGGAGCTGGGAGAAAATAAACCTTATTTAAAGCCCCCAGTCCATGGTGTTTGCTACAGTGGTCCCAGCAGACTGAGCTGTGGCTGCCAGTTTAAGGGCACACTCCTTGCCTAGTTCCGTCCCTTCCCCGTCTCCCCACTACTTCTCTATGGACTAACTGGAATCGCCTTTCACATAAACTACTCACACCCCCATCCCTGCCTCCAGAGTTGGTTCTGGGGGACCCAGGCAGAGGAGAGAATCAACCATAATTCCATGACGATGTGCTGCTTTTGTTCCACTGGTCTGAAATGCTAGGTTAGTTTGGATCCTTTTCTGTGGCAATGCCAACATAAAGGTTGTACAGCGTGTGGCTACAGGATAAGCTCCTAGGAGAGAGTCCCACCCACTGACGCACCGTCCACTATGCCTCCCCCTTTCCACCTGTGGATCCGTGTTTGACTGTAACTGCTCACAGCCTAAGGGGACCCAGGTGGCCTCAATGAGATGCAGGGTACCAGGCCCGTGTTGCTACCTGGGCCGCTGCATGAGCTCTTCTAACGTTTGTGGAGTAGCTGTGCATAGAGAGTATTGCGGCACCATACCTCTCCTGTCAAACATTTAGGTTGTTTGCGTGCTTTCCTGCAAGGGCTTCCCTGCAGTAGAGCTTCCTGGGGGCTCGTTTTCTCCTTTATGGGGATGGACATAAACCCGGTGCACAAGGCAGGGGCTGCAAACACATCCCAACTGCCCTCAGAGTCTTCCTTTAAACACCCAGGAGGGGAGGCACAAATTAAAGACCCTGTACGTTTTTATAATTGACTCTGAATTCAGGTAATGGGCTATCAACTTTTTCTACAAACCACCACCAGCTTTGCTGCCATGAGTGAAAGAGCAGGCAGCCAGCGCCCGCTCCTGCTAGAGCCCCAAACGCTCTGGGCCCTGTGTGTAGTGCAGGTGTGGATGCAAGGGAACCCGGAGGGGCTGGGAACTCTCTGGAAATTGGTCTGCTACCAGTTCAGGAGCTCTGGGGGCTCAGAAGTCCTACGACCGACCTGCAAATCCTGTCCTGGGTCAGGGAGGGGAGACAGTACACCCCAGGGGATGGAGACAGGAATGCATGGAGCAGCAGCACCCACAGTAGCACAAAGTGGAAACAACCCAGACATCCACCTGAAAGAGAGTGGACACATCATGAAATGAGAAACCTGAAAAATGAAGGAACTACAGTGGTAGCATCATCATCACATGACTTTTAGCAACTTGCTGTGAAGGGGAAAAAGTTACATGGAGTTTGATACAATCTTATATAATTGAAAAAAGCAAACAATGTGTTATTTCAAGATATAACTTTTTTTTTTTTTTTTTTTTTTTTTTTTTTTTTTTGAGACGGAGTCTCACCCAGCCTGGAGTGCAGTGATGTGATCTCAGCTTACTGGAACATCCACCTCCTGGGTTCAAGCCATTCTCCTGCCTCACCCTTCTGAGTAGCTGAGATCACAGGCGTGCGCCACCATGCTCAGCTAATTTTTTTATTTTTAGTAGAGATGGGGCTTCGCCATGTTGCCTAGGCTGGTCTCGAACTCCTGGGCTCAAGTGATCCACCTGCTCTCAGCCTCCTCCCAAAGTGCTGGGATTACAGGCATAAGTCACCAAGTCTTGTCAAGATATAATGTTTTTGAAGCCGGGAGAAAGATGTGGTGACCTGACCGGCAGGGGAGGAGGGACTCAGGGTGGAGTGAAGTGGGGGAAGGAGCTCCCAACAGGAATAAGGGTAGGTCTTGTGTCCCTGGTTATGCTGCATGGTAGACACAAGTTGATGTATTTGCTTATATCAAACACTGCATAGCTTTAACCCCCTGAGACAGCCTCCTTGAGGCTTATACAGTCCAAACGAAGATCAGCCTGGCTCCCACCCCCATAGGAGGGCACCCCAGAGGTCTATGCTTCCTGCAGGTCTGTGGGTGCTGCTGGAAGCTGTACTCTACCCCCAGGTAGACGCTGTGAGTCCTCGGGCTCTACGTGGGGAGGGAGCCTGGAGTCTTGGCTGGGGCAGCACAGGGCGGCCCGTCACCCTTCCCCAGGCATCACAGATCTGAGTCCAGGGTCTGCTTCTTGCAGGCTGGGAACCCATCCCGTCCTGCCCCTACAGCCTGGGAAGCCAACCCCCTTCAATCTTTTCATCATAAGGGTCCTCACTCCACCTCCTTTCTGGGACAATAAAGCCACTTGGCCACCCTACTTAGTGGGGTCCCCCTCCCCACTCCAGGGAGAGGGCTACAATTAGTGTTCTGATTTTATTTGCCCTCCCAAGGACTCCAAGGTGACTTTCTAGCCCCTTTCTTTGTGGAACACAGTGGGGGACCCTTAAATCTTCAGCAGGCACCTCGCTGCCCAGTGCTGCTGTCTTGCTTTCCAAAGCCTCCAGCAGCCCACCACACTCCTTACATTACTGACGTTGTAATACAGCAATCAGCATCAGGCTCATGTATGACAACCCACAAAAATGGTGTGCCTTGCTCTGGGTCCTGTCCCCAGGTTCCCCGTTCTCCTCCTTAAAGGTAAGGATTGCTGTCTGCTTCACATAACACACCAACGTACACACACAGCCACCCCACACACAACACACAACCCATACACACACTCACAACACACATACACACACACCTCATTTTTAGTACACACAAGATGGCAGCATATCAGACATACTCTTCTGATGTGCTTTTTAACAAATATTGTAATAGACCTGTAGATCATTCAGAGCAGTGTATAAAAAGCTGCCTCTACATTTGAAGGGCTGCCTAAGATTTCCAGGAGCAGTTGTAAAATTTAGCAGCTTCCTATCAGTGTTTAGGAAACAGTTTAGCTGCTTTCCAGTCCTTCGCTGTTTCTAGCAGTACTGGAGTGGGCAGCGTTTACTTACCTGTGTGAGTGTACATTTGGGATAAAGTCCTAGAAGTGACATTCATATTCTTTTTAATCCTTACACCAACCCTGCAAGATTTAACATTATTACAACAATTTTAGAGATGAGAAAATGAAGGCTCAGAGAGGCAAAATGATCATCCCAGCTGGAAGTTGGGTGGGAATCCGCACAGTTTATCAGCTTGGCATAGCTCCTTGGGGGACCACAAAGCACTCCCGGTCTGTGAAGGCTGATCCCTTCACTCAAGTCTCTTCAGCCACTGCCCAGAGCCTGCCAAGGAGTAGGTGGCCAGTAAGGAGGCCACACAAAGCCCAGCCTCTAGAAGAGGCCCCTGGATAGCCCTGCCGCCTCTCTGGTTGTGGGGGCGGCAGCCTCAGTGTTGAGGGTGGACAGCAGGAAGGCAAGTTGTCTGGGGAAGCGGTGGCTCAGCAACTTGAGTTCCCAAAGGCTACACAGTGGAGGTGGCGGCAAAGCTGGCAGTGGTGCTGGGCTGGAGCCGGATGGTGATGTAAAACCTGGAGCCTCGAGCCTAGGGAAGCCACACACAGCCACACGTGGCCTTTAGAAACCCTGCTGGCTGCAGCCATTACAGCCCAGAGAAGTCAGCCACGGCCACAGCTGGGAGGGCCCCAGGAGGATCTGCTCCCAACCAGGCTTGGCCTGGCCCCTTCCACACAGAGCCTCTGCCACCTGGTGTCCCAGGAAGCCATGGTGGCACCCCACACTCACCTACCCCCACAGGCAGGCTCCTCCAGCCACCAGATATCCAAGCCAGAATCTAGGAGTCCCCCAGTGCCTCCTGATCCCCTGCCTCATAAGTGGCTGGGGACGTGTTCCCAAGCCCTGCCCATCCACTAAGTGAGCTTCATTTTCAGCATCTGCCAGAGGCATACCTCTCTGCCATGCCAACCTCTCTCTTCCACCCCTCCTTCCAGCCCATCCCCTAGCAGCTACATGTAGGTCCCACCATGCCACCTACAGGCTTGACTGTCTCCACAGCTACCTCACAGGATGGGGTGGGAAATCTCCCTTCTGCCTGCTCCTCACTATTTTGCTGCCATTTGACAGAAGCTGACACCCACAGCCCCCTCCCTAGCTCCTGTAATCATGGACCCGGCTGTAGAGATGTGGAAACCCACCACTGCCCATCTGTCAGCCCGGGCATGGGATCAACTCCCCACTGTGGCAGGGCCTTGGTGGCCGCTCTGTTCCTAGTCAATTCTCTCTCCCCAGCCTCGCCTCTGCCCACTGCCACCTTCAGCTTCCCAACAGCAGGGTTCAGCCCCAGGCCTCTGCTCTGACCCGACAGCTGTCCCTAACTCTAAGCCACTCCATTTTGCATGGGTAGAATCTGAGACCAGGAACATCTGAGCTCTCAGAGCTCAGACCTGGCAGCTAAGCCCATTGCTTCAGCTTGGAGCTGTGGGGCAAAATCCTGGGGATCTGGTGCTCCTGCAACCAAACTGTGGGGAGTCAGGCCCTGCAAAGGCCAGGGCCATGTGTGGGTTGGGTGTGTGTGCATCTGTCTGTCTGTCTCTCCAGGCATCTATTCAGGGATGGAGTGTGCATCCTCATGGCTGGCCAGAGTTGACATGCAGTGTATCAAATGATAAGCATGGAAAAGTCAACACAGACCCACCCTGGCCCTGAGGGCCCCTGACATTAACTGGAGTGGATGGGGACCAAGGCATCAGTGGGCCAGGGCATTCAGGAGGCTGGGGGGGCCTACACCGCTGGTGGAAGAAGCCCTTCAGTGCCACACAGCTGTTCCCCGTGCAGTGCATGACTGAGGAGCTGCTGGGTCCGAGGCTTTGTTTCTTTCCTCACATCTGTTTAGGAGGGAGTAGGTGTGCCTGAGGGTCCGCTTTTCTGTGGCTGGATCTTTCCAAGGGTGTCCAGGGTTTCCTTGAGTACCCCATGTTTGGGGTGATAAGAGAGCCTGAGAGTTCGTGCTGCAGTCGGCTGAGGGCCCGCCCAGGGCCTCCACCCTTGGAGTACAGCATTAGCCAGCGCCGTGCAGCCACACTAAGTGCAGAGGTGCCTGGCTCCTTCCCTTGCTGCTCTCCCATGTGGAGGACCTGGCTAAGCTCCTGCTGCAGAGGCCAGTTTCCCCACCACCCGTGCAACTAAGCCTGCCCCCAGTGGCCTAGGCCTTGCCCAAGGAAGGTCTTGTATGCCCTTGCCTGGAAGCTGCCTGGCTGTGGGAATAGTCATCAGGCTTTAGCGTCCCCCTTCTCTGCCTCAGTTTCCTCAGCTTTAAAGTGGCACATGTTGGGAGGATGATGTGAACTTCTGCATGCAAAATCGGGGGAAGGAAGGCCAGGCAGCATGCACAAGGCCAGTGGGGGTGGTAGCCTCAGGGCAGGGACTTACCCTCGGACTGGGATGGACCTTGTTGGCACCAACCTCTTCTGCAGGGGCAGCTGCACAGTATTGGAGTTGTCTGTGATCTTCCAGGGTTGCAGGGGTTCAGGGTCGGGCTCTGTCAGCAACGAGAACCTGCGACAGCACTTGGAGTGTCAACATGGCCACCAGCCACCAGCCTCCTGAAGTGGCTGTCACTCATCTGGAACTTTCCATCTGCCAAGCACTAAGTGCTTCACAAATATTAGCCCATATGTCAACTCACACACATGCTATGAGGCAGGTGTTACCCACATTTTACAGACATGAAAACTGAGGCACAGAAGTTGCACAGCCAGGAGGTGGGAGCTAAGCTGCCGCTGGCTGGAGAGTCTTGTTACGGCCACAGCGGCCAAAAGGGCTGGTCCAGACCGTCCAAGCCCCTGGGTGCTAGCCTCCCCTGGTTTCAACCTGAGGGCACTCTGTATGGTGTGTACCTGCCACCTCACGTGACAGTGTCTACGGTGGGGGACAGAATAGGGTGCAAGGCTATATAGCTAGAGTCTCCTGGGGCAAGGACAGGGACAGGTGCTCCACTGGCCTGACACAGAGGCACAGCATGGAGCTCATCGTCCCTACCACCCTCAAGCATGGCTGCCCAGGTGGTCCTCCGTGGTCCTTGTGGGCAGCCCTGCCAAGCATCCAGGGCCACTGCTGGGCACATAGCACCTGTTTCTGGGGTGGGGAGTGAGCATGGAGTGGGCAGCTTGAGGTTGCAGGGTGCCAAGCTCAGCCCCAGTGCCAGGCGCTACCTGCTGTCCTGCAGGTAGGAAGCCAGCTGCCCCTAGGCCCCCTCAGGCTGCCCATTATCCCCGCTGAATCCTAGTCCCAGGAGCTCACAAACAACGGCTGCCCAGCACACCAATTCCAACACAACTCAGGAGGGGCAGGCGTCTGTCGCCATGCTCCCCGTGTGACTTGGGGAAGCAGCTGGCCTGGGCTCTGGGATGACCCAGCGGGGCCTGAGCCCACCTAGAGGCCCCTCGGCTTAGGCTATGATGGGAGCGACGAAGGCAGACCCTAGACTGTCAGCCAGGCAAGGGCTGCTAAGGGGTTCCCTGTGGACAAGAAATCCCCTCCGAACTGCAGCCCCCCAGAACACATCTGAGTTCCCAGGATGCTGAGGTGACCTGGGGGAGGCAGGGCTTGGCTCCAGAGGCATGAGCATCCCACACCTGTATGGAAACTTCTTGGCAAAATTCTCCTGGGCCTGGATCCTCCACTTCTTACTCAGGTGAGACTTCTGGCGGGCCCTGGAGTCCATCACTGAGGGGGTTAAGCTGTGGCGCACCTCTTGGCCATGGCTGGAAGGCAGGAGGGGGCATCAGAGGGGGCAGGGGTGGTGGCAGGCAGAAAGCAGAGTGACAGAGCAGCCCAGTGGGGTGGGGGATGCCTGCGGGCCTCCAAATGCCGGCATCACTGCCCTGCACACGCACTGCTCTGTGCCATTTTCTCCTGTGTGTAGCTTCCTGTGACCACCATAATCAAGGTCCTCACCAGACACCCTCCCCAAGGCTCTCTCACACTAACTCCTCCACAGCCACACCTGCCCACAGCCCAGTCCCCAAACCTGGCAGCCACTGATCTGTCCTCCATCATGGGGCAGCATGTGACTTCAGAAGTGCTATGCAGAGGAACTGCACATGAGGCATCTTTCTGAGACTGGCTGCTTCTCATCCTGCTTTCCTCCAGATCTGCCCAAACTTCACCCACAGTCTGTCCCTCCTGCTACTGAGTGCCGTTCCAGGGCACAGTTGGGCAGCTGCTCAGGCCTCCAGCTTGGGGCACTTGCAAAGCCACTATTACTATTCAGATGCAAGCTTCTGCCTGAAAGTATCTTCATTTCTCTGAGATACATTGCTGGGTCATGTGGTAAGTCCATTTCTAGTTTTTTGGTTTTTTTGAGACAGGGTCTTCATCTGCCACCTGGGCTGGAGTGCAGGGATGTAATCACAGCTCTCTGCTGCCTCAACCTCCTGGGCTCAAGTGATCCTCCCACCTCAGCCTCCCGAGTAGCTGGGACTACAGGCGTGTGCTACCATGCCCCACTATTTTTTTTTATTTTTATAGAAATGGGATCTCACTATATTGCCCAGGCTGTACATACATTTTAAAGCACCACAGATGAGCAGAGTTGGGCGAGCATTCAGACTAGTGGAGGGTAAGGCCTGACCCCTGGTGTCCTTCATGGCAGCATGTCACCCACTCCTTCTCACTGGTGTGTCTTCATATAGCCACCTCAGCCGGCACACCGCCACACAGGCCCCTGAAGCATGTTGTGACAATGCCGACTGCCTACAGTTCCCTGGGTGCCGCATTTGGTCCCCTGAGCTGACAGCTGAAGCCCTGGTCTGGGAGGAGGGCTGATTCCTGGTCTGGGCAGCTGGGTCTTTGTAGCACAGCCAGGTGGTGGTCTTTCTCCGGGACCAGCACCATCCAGTAGAACTTTCTGAGATGAGGGAAATGCCCTGGGTCCATGCTGTCCGAGATGGCAGCTGCTGGCTACATGTGGCTATCAGCTGAGCATGACTGAGGGACGGGGTAGTTCCCAGTTGTATTTAATTCTAGTAACTGTGAACAGCTAGCTGCATGTGGCCAGTGCCTACTGCACTGGGCAGCACAGCTGTGGCCACTTGGAGGAAGGCTGCTGCTTCCCCAGGTGTGGCTCCAGCAATGAGCTTGGAGGCTGCGCCTCACCAGAACCCTAGGCCTGAGTGATTCCTGTCCTCTCTTAGGAAGCCCAGCGCTTTGGTCAAGGTGACCCCGATGCGTGGTTCTTGGCTGCTGGGGTTTCTCAACCAGGCTTGCTGTGCCAAAACCCCATGTTTACAAGACAGAGGAGGCATTGCCCCCTCCAGAGCAGCCAGCCTGTGTAAAGGAGAGATAGGCAGCCTTTGGGGGCCATCACCCTGTGGGGCCAGGACAGTGCAGTCACAGGAGAGATGACACGGTGTAAGTCTGACTCTGCTCCAGCATGGTGAGTGCTCTACCGCAGGCCAACCAGGTGCTCCAACCCCTGGGCCACAGATCAGTGCCAGTGGGCTGTTAGGGACTGGGCTGCACAGCAGGAGGTAGGTGGCAGGGGAGTGAGCATTATTGCCTGAGCTCCTCCTCCTGTCAGATCAGCCGCAGCATTAGATTCTCATAGGAGCGCGGATCCTATTGTGAAATGAGTGTGTGTGGTATCTAGGCTTCGTGCTCCTTATGAGAATCTAACTCATCCCCGATGATCTGAGGTGGAATGGTTTCATCCCTAAAGCCCCCACTCCCCACCATGGTGTCCATGGAAAAATTTTCTTCCATGAAACCCTGGTGCCCAAAAGGTTGGGGCCCACTGCTCTAGAGCCACCCCCTGGCCTCACAGACCCTCTAACACCCTTGCCAGCCACCCACTGCCTCCCTGCTCAATAACCCTGCCCCTCCAGCGCTGTGTCGGCTTTGTCTCCACAGGCTTCCCTAGCCCCACTGTCCTCTGGTAGGCCTCTTGATGGACAAGGCCATGCAGTGCGCCTTGCAGGGGCTGGGGTGTGGCCCCTAGGAATGTCTGCCTCCTCCCACATCCAGCGGGCAGCATCAGGACAGCCCAGCTCACAGGCCTGCCAGTCCCTCCACACCACACTCTGCCCCATCCTACCCGGTGCTCCACGGAAGGCCCTTAGCCCAGAGGACTGTGTGCTGCTTTGGTGGGGATGCCTCAGGAGCAGGGAGCCTGCGAGCTGGCAGGGACCTGGCTTCAGCCTGAGATTTGCAGCAGATGCTGTCAGGTGCCCATGCACAGCCCCTCTGCCCTCACCTCCACACCTGGAGGCCTGGCCTTCGAGTCCGCCAGCTGCAGAAACGCACTAGGCCATGCGCAGAGAGTGGGAGCAGCCCCTCACCAATGAGAGCAGGGAGTGGGATAAATACCCCAGCTCCCTCGCCTCTCTGTGGGGGTAGCTCAGAGCTGTGCTCTGCACAGTCACCCATAGCAGCCTGTCCGGGCAGGCTGAGCTGCAGCCATGGTGAGGACACACCCCAGAGTGCATCCTCCCCTTCCCTCCCCACGTTCCACTTTCCTCTCGGTGCCTCCTGGGTGCAGCTCCCAAGTGCAGCCCTGCACTCGCACCTCTCCAGGGCCTGCTTGGGGACTGCACATCTACACACCCATGCCCAGCAATCGCTGCAAACGCCCCAGCCCAAGAGGACCCAGGCTGAGAAGGCAGCCGCTAAGCAGGTCTCCCATCTCGCCTCACTGTCGTTCCCCCACACACACTGACACACACACACTCACAGACACTTGCATACTTACACTCACACAAACCCCCACACATTCACATACACACTCACACTCATACACAGACTCATCCCCACACACAGCCCCCACACACTCACACTCAGACTCACACACATGCAGACTCACACACAGACACACTCATACACACACACAAATTTACATACACACACAAACACATACACAGACTCACACATTCACACACAGATTCACACACACACAGACTCACACTTGCACACACAGACACTCTGATAAACTCACACTCAGACCTGCCCTCACACACACCCACACACACAGGCAGGGAGCCATCTGGGCATGGCTGGCCTCTCCCCCTCATCACTCTGCCCACAGCCACTCTGTCCCCATCCACGGCTACCTGACCTGGGAGCTCCTCGCTACCTTGGTCCAAGGCAGAGACTGCCTCCACCAGCCCTGAATGCAGCTCGCTTCCTTTCCCAATTCAAAGCAGCTGGTGTGGGTTACTACCACACCTGGCATGATTCCAAATTGATGATGCCTGGAGAGGAGCCCCCAGGCAACGCGGGTAGCCCATCCCAAATCTGGGATTCTGGAGTTCTCCAAAAGCCGGTGGGCTCAAGCAAGACTGCTCGGCAGTGAACCTGTAACGTGCCATGCTGCTCATCCATCCGTCTGAGGGTGGCATGTGAGGCTGCCTGCTACCAAGTGTGGATTGGCTCAAGGCCCTAGGCGGGAGGCTGCAAACTGTACACTGAACACAGGCCCGAGGACCATGGCCTTGGCAGCATGGGAGACCAGCCTGTCTGTGAGCCAGAACATACTCCTTACCCACTGCCTCTGCACCCGTCTCTGACTTTGGAAGATCAGCCATCCAGATCTTTGCTCTGAAATACTGGGGTATTTGCCCAGAAATACTGTCAGTCCTGCTCACGACCTGTCCTGGGCCCTGAAGGGTGGGCTTCCCCACTGACTTGCCCACCAGCCTAGTACAGACTGCAGCTCTCTACACCAGTGTTGGCTAAAGGGGGTCTTGGTGGTCCCTGACCCTGCAGTCCTAGCTGTTCTGAGGACTCTGGGATCCCTTTGCTGGGCCTAAGCCCACAGTCCTGCAGCCACAGCCTGGGCCAGGCCCAGCTCAGCCCCTTCCTGTCAGGTGCACATGGGCAAGTCACCTCCAGCCTAGGCTCAACCCTGAGGAGTCGGGGCAGGGGGAAGCCTGGGCCAGTTCTGGCAACAGGGTCACAGCAGGAGGCTGCAGAATGGGGCCTGTGGCCTCTGCTAAGCGTCTACTACATTCTATGCATAACCTCACTTCATTTTTTTTCTACCTGATGGAGAACATACTATGCTCACCCCCATAACTCAGATGAGGAAACTGGGGCTCAGGAAAGTTAATTGATTTGCCTGTACTCACACAGTGAGTGGGGGAAGAGGTGGGGTTCAGGATGGGTGGTCTGTGCTGCTTCTGCTGGGCCATGTGGCCTCAGACAGTCCTGGACCAGAGCAGCAGCATTACCACAGGAATTGAGGGATCAGCAGAGGCAGGGGCAGCCTTCAGGCCCATCCCATACCCTCCCACCTGACCCCTAGGTCATGGGGATAACCCCCTATAAGCTGACTGCTGAATCTGCCCCCCAGGGGCAGGGCTACTGCAGAGTCCAGGGCTGTCCTCTGCCATCATGATCCTGTCCCAGCCTCTTCTCCACCACCCTGTTGCTGCTACCTAAGTCCCTAACTGACTTGGGACTGTCCTTTCTGGCCACGCAGGGTGTCAGCACTCACCAGGCAGCCGCCTTGAATCCTGGCAGTGATGATGATCAGACGTTACTGGAGACCCTGGAACGGCTCCTGTTCTGCAAGATGCTGGTGTGAGAGCTGCTGTGGCCCCTGAGGCTGGCAGGGCCCTGGCTATAGCCCTCTCTGGGAAGAACCAGTCCCAGGCTATGCCTGGAGCTTCTAGCCAGAAAGGAGAAGCTACAGGACCCCGTGGGCTGGCTTATGTGACACCAGGTGGACTGAAGCTGGCCATGGTCCCAGCTGCCACACTACC